TGGCGGGCGCCGGTCCTCCGCAACGGGAGAGGCCACAACAGTGAGAGGCCCGCGTACCGCAAAAAAAAAAAAAAAATCCATCTTACTCAAAGACAAAGTCTACACTCCTCAGCCTGGCACTTGACCTGGCCACCCAGACTCAGAGAGGTGGAAAATAAAAATCCTTCAGGGGCCAGGCAGGTAATAAAAATGACAGAGACAGGCAAAACGTTAGATTTTCAATGGTTTCAACCTCAGTATGGAGGATACTATGGAAACTACAGCAAACAGACTCTGCAGGACCTGTCCAAATGATGCAGACACTGTTCAGCTCAAATTCCCTGACACCAAAGTAGAGTGCAGCTTATTTTCTGAGAGGCAAGCAATCCAGAATTTTTGGTGAAATCTCCCCATTGCCAGATGCTGAAAATGCTCTCAGATGTAAAAATTCAGGTCAGACTATATCATGTACTGGTGAAGATAGTCTGTATCTTCACCAGTACATTATTTAAAAATCAACCTAAAATACAATCTTCCCACATTGTGTTAAGCGCAGTGTGCCCAGTGGCCCAGCCTCAGACTAAACATTCTTCCTGCCCTCCCACTGGTATGTCTTCACCAATTCTCCAATTTACCAGACTCGCAGGGGTAGTTCAAACAGCCCTACTTCTCCTGGAAGCCCTTCCTAGCCACTTCAGGCCACAGTCTACTCTGCTGTCCCTGCCTTTCATCCTTATCACTGGACAATTAAGCCTGGATGTCCCTGTATTTTTATTTAAATTGCTCCATGTGTGTTGTTCACAATTAACTACTTCGAGGATGACTGAAGTATGGATGGAGCAGAAAGAAATGTTGAGGGAAACTCCATGTAAGCCACTCCTCCAGGACCAGGAAAGAGCTTTGCCCAATACCAACAAGGCAGCCTCCAGAGCAAGAAAAGGGAATGGATTCATCCTCTTGACAGCCAAGATGGAATTTTACGGAAATTCTCACCTCTTTCTTAGCTTTCAGGAGCCCCGTGGCCATTTTCCTGATCTCCTGAGTGCTCTCCCTGAAGAAGGGCAAAGTCTCAGAAGGCAGATCTGAGGATGTGAAGAGAAATACGAGCATGCCTAGTTGGAAAACCCCTCCCAAGTGCAGGCGGGGTGTGCTCCAGAGCCCCACTACTGGGGATTGGGAGTGTCACAGAATTCACTACCACAAGCCAATTCCGGAGAAAGGGCCCAGGGTGACGGAGCACCCTCAAGCTCAGCCCCAACCTCTGGCCAGAGAGTGAAGCCCATATCCTCCAGCAGTGGAGTAAGGGTTTGTCCCTAAGGCAGACTGTGTCCTCGTGAGTAAAACCGGAACAAGCATGGGGACGTGCTGAGTGGACGAGGCAGTGACTATTGGGCACTCACGGAACGCGGGGTGCACGTTACCGATCCTGAGGCTGAAGCTCGGGAACCAAGAGCAGAGGTGTGAGAAGGACCCGAATACAGTTGTCTACCCCGGTGCCAACCAGCCTAATGGGCGGACTCCACCGGCCGGAAGTGTTCCTGTTACGCCAACTCCCCACGCTAAGGAGCGAGCGGAAGAGAGGGCGGAAGTGGCCGCAGAGGCCTCTGGAGAGTGTAGTCTTGGGAAGGAGAGTAGGAGGGCGTGGGCTTCTCCATCGCAGGGTGATTCTCACATCTGCACCTCTTATACAGCCAAATTTAGGAGCCCGTTGTTAAGGTGCCCAGACCGCGAGGTTCACCAGTCTCTCCGCCGAGGGCCAATGAGATCTGCAGGCCACGAGAGCGTCGCGGACACCCCCGAGAAGTCTAGGAAATGTGGTCCTGGAGCCCGGTGTTGCGGCGGCTGGTAACCAGACTGTCCGCACTGACCTTCAGCGGCGCGGGGGAGATAAGCTTCCCCACCCAAGTCTCCACTGGTGTCCACTTCCCGGAGCTGAAACCAGGGTCGGCACGGGCTGGCCCAGAGGCGGGCCGATGTGGGCGCGGCTCGGAGTAAAGCACTTGGAGGGTGGGGAAGCGGGGTGATGCTCTGCTGGGACTCCCAGATAGGAGCGACACCGGCTTTACGTCCCCGAGGTTGGGAGGGGGCGCCAGTATAGACAGGGAACACCAAGGATGTTTTTGGTGAGAGCGGGATTGGCTTGGGCCAACTTGGAATGGCGGTGGGAGTGGCTTTTGTCTTGTGTGCCCGGGATTTTGAGGAGTGGAGAGGCTGGACTTGGGTAAAGAGCAAAAGGTTCCCTGGTGGTAGTAGTATAATGAAGCCCCACGGCTCGAGCCAGCAAACCCTGGTACAGGTATCGCTTGGAGGAAACTTTCCGAGGTGGTGGTGGTGGTGGTGGTGGTGGTGATGGTGAGGGAGAGAGGGGTGAAGAGGAGGCATAATTTGAGTTTTGTTCATCATGGATTGGGGGGAGGGGGAGATTTTGTTCATCATTTTTATTTTTAGGATAATACATTAAAATATTTATCTTGATTACTGAGTGTTTTTGGTGCTTCCTTAAATTCTGTACCCCAAATCCCCACATTAAGGAAAAGCATAGATCTGATGCTACATGAACCTCATTGGCACCTACCGGCCTGTAGCTTTGATAAGAGGTGAGGGCTTGGCTTCTGGGCATTAAGTAGCCAGAAAGAGTCCTTTAGGAGCTTACCCTGAATTGTTGAATTGTCAGTGATCTTTTCTTTCCTGACTTCCTTAAAATCCACAATTTCCTGATAACTACTCCACTCAAAGCACCACCCTCAAGGCACCTCCAAGGCCCATCATGGTGCAAATATTCAAAGAATACTCTTAAATCTTAATACTCTACTCCAGAATATTTCCCAATATCCCTTTGCCTGGAGAAGTAAAAAAAAAAAAGGTTTGCATGTTAGCATCAGCCTCCCCGACTGCACAGGGGTTCAGGAAGGAGGATCAGCCCAGCACCCTATTCCAATCCTTGACAGACCTCACCAAGGATTTCATATCCCTGAACGTGTAATGTTTCTAAAAGAAATCAGTGGGCACCAAAGTCAGGCATGGGGCTGAGAGGAGCACAAATGAAATGGAGGGACTGAAAAGTGTCAGAGAAGGGATGGAGGGTCGGGGTGGGGGGGGAGCCGAGGAGGTGGGATCCTGAGATAATCCAGATCCTTATGTGTAGACATGTGTACACAGTCTGTGAAGAGAGATCCAGGCTGACAGGTTATCTGTAATAAATCAAACATAACAGCAGATTGGGTGATGATGGGGCTCTGGGAACTTTCTCCCCTTTCTCCCTTCCAGGGAGGGGAAAGGGACTGGAGATAGAATCAATCGCCAAAGACCAATGATTTAATAGATCACACCTATGTATTGAAGCCTCCATAAAACCCCAAAAGGTTGGGGTTTGGAGAGCTTCCAGGTTGGTAGAGATTCAGGGAGAGTGGCGTGTTCAGAGAGCATGAGAGCTCTGCACCCCTCCCCCATACCTTGCCCTATGCATCTCTTCCATCTGGCTGTTCCTGAGTTATAATCTTTTATGATAAACTGGTAATCTAGTAAGTAAAATGATTCTCTGGATTCTGTGAGCCACTCCAGCAAGTTAAATGAGGAGGGGGTTGTTGGGACCTCCAATCTATAGCCAGTTGGTCAGAAGCCCAGGTGACAACCTGGACTTATGACTGGTATCTTGGGTGGGTGGAGTGGGGAACAGTCTTGCAGGACTGAGGCCCTCACCTGTGGAATCTGATGCTGTCTCTGGGTAAACAGTGTCAGAATTGAGTTGAATTGTAGGACACTCATTTGGTGTCCCAGAAATGCTTGGATGTGTGGAGGAAAAAAAACCCACACAGTGGAATTGGGGGTACAGAACCCTTTTACCCTGGACCTGAGTTTGCTTAATAAATCTAAGAGCTTTGAGATTTAATCTCTGTCCTTTGAGGAGTCCTATTTCCCACACTCCTATCTGGGCTCTGAGGCTCAAAGATGTGAAAATCCATTTAAATTATAAACACAATGGAAAAAAAATCTAGTCACGCCTATCTAGGGAACATATCTGGTTAAAATTAACATCAGATAAAAATCAGTTAAAAAGAAAAAAAGTGAAAAAATATTCTTTGAAGTTAAAAGCCATACAAACTACTGTGTCACTGACAAGTTGAATAAGAAATTGACCTGCAATCTACAAAATCATTGGAAGAAACAATAGTGAAAATACTTCAGATCGAAATCTGTGGAATGAGGTTACCTGGGTACCCAGAGATACCACCTTAAACACAGTGCCCAAAAAAACAGGGCAAAAACTTCAGCTCTATATACATTTTTGGACGGAAGTTCTAGTTTCAGTAAGGTCAAAAGTTTAAATAAAAATGACCACAAAAGGGAAAAACAAAACTCCAGAACTGGGGAAGAAGGGCTAGTCTAAATCACTGATGAGTCAAATTATTAAAAATTGACTTAATTTCCAATGAATGATGAGGAATAAAACAGTGGTTAGAAGGAAACTTTTAGCCTGAAAGTAATCTATGACTTAGAAATTAAGGCAGAAAACTAAGAAGCTAGCAGTCAACTTTCAGGGCAGAAAACTAACAGAACAATAGGATATGAGAGAGGGAAGAAATAATTAGATGGGGGCAGAGAGAGGTGCTCATGGGGATACAGGAGGCAGGAAGAACATATGGAGTTTGTGCATAAAATCACTATAAAGAAACAGTCCTTGGGATTTCCCTGGTGGCGCAGCGGTTAAGAATCTGCCTGCCAATGCAGGGAGCACTGGTTCGAGCCCTGGTCTGGGAAGATCCCACATGCCACGGAGCAACTACGCCCGTGCGCCACAACTACTGAGCCTGTGCTCTAGAGCCTGCGAGCCACAACTACTAAGCCCGCGTGCCACAACTACTGAAGCCTGCGTGCCGAGAGCCCGTGCTCTGCAACAAGAGAAGCCACCACAATGAGAAACCCGCGCACCGCAACGAAGAGTAGCCCCTTCTTGCCGCAACTACAGAAAGCCTGCGCGCAGAAACGAAGACACACGTAGCCATAAATAAATAAATTTTTTAAAATATATATTAAAAAAAAAGAAACAGTCCTTAGGGAGGTGGATACACAAGGATTGTGCTAGATGTGGAACGAAGAAGACAGATACCCCTGGAGGGTATATTCAGGGAGTAACATTGCATGAAAAACAAGAGACAGTCAAGTGTGGAGGCTTTCCCATCTTACACAGAGATAGAGCGCAGCATGGATAACATTAGCAAGTGATGGGCACAAACGAGGAGTCAATAAACACGGGAAAAAGCCCCTCAAGAGGAGATGAGGAAAATGAGCACAATCCCTTTCTCAGAAAGACAGTGCTTAAATCCATGCATGTGGGAACTCAGGTTCAGCGGCAAGACTAGGAATCAGTCAAGAGCCGCCCACACCTCTGCTGTGTCACCTGCAGCCATAGGGTGGCAGGCAATACCTTCTGTTCCAGCAGAGCTGGCCAGGGAGAGCAGTTAGAACAGGAGAGGTGAGAGAGGATTCAGGAGAAGCCAGGACCTTCCAAAGGACCTTGAGTCCTGCTGGTCTCACAGTGAAGCCCCAGCAGAGGGAAGGCTCTACCGTGAAAGAGAAAACACAAAGGAAACATAATATTTGTCTATTTTCAAAATAAAATATTTACTACATGTTCAGGTAGAGATGGGGACAGAGACAGAAGTAAGGTAGAAGGAATCAGCCAGACACCACAGGTATGTAATGATGGATAAATAAATGACATGCATGGGGAGATTATCCACATATGCAGACTTTATCTGTTCACATAAATACTTATATTTATGCATCTCCCAGTAGAGATGTTTACATAAACTGCATTTATTACACTGTGAAGTTGACAAGGAGATAAAGTAAAAATAAAACAGCTATAGAGAGTGTCAGTCTCTCTGTTTAGTGGGAAGCACACGAGCACAGCTTCTCCCTTCCCTTCTGAACACCACTAATGTGTGCAGCAGTAGGTGGCAAATCACAGCCTGGGCCACCCCTCCCAGAATGTCACAAACATGGACATACGTACCACAGAACTCACTAGAAACCAAAGCCAGGAAGCGTAGGGGCTGTGGAAGACAGCCTTCAAGTAGCAGGGACTAGAAAATTCCAGGATGGGGCACTGGGGAGTAGAGATTCCAGGAGGATCCAGATGCCTGTGCAAGGGCCAGGTAGAGAGCAGATGTGTGTCAGTAACTCAAATTTGGCACAGCAGACCCACCCAGAGGGCTTCTTAAAGACAGATTGCTGGGCCCCACCTCCAGGGTTTCTGATTCAGCAGGGCCTGAGAATCTGCTTTTCTAACACGTTTCCAGGAGACACTGATGCTACTGGTCCAAGGATCACACTATTAACTAATCTAACACTAGGTCTAGGGGAGGTACTGAAGAGCAAAGAAGCAGAAGGGACCTGAAGCCTTTGCTAGGGGTTTCTCTGTAAACTTCTCAAATATAAAAACCTTCAAGACACTGAAAGAGCATTTTCAGTGTCATGTCTACAAATACAAGGTACCAGTCAGGGAG